AATATCTGTATAATAAATTGCAAATGATACCTAAACTTTTGTCTTTATTCCTGACCTCTCTTCTGAACTTCAAACTTTCATTTCTAACTGCTTGCTACTATCTCCACATAGATATCCAACAACAACAATGTATAAAATCCAGATTATCATCTCCCCCACCAAACCTGTTCTTCTTCCTGTATCATACATTTCAATTATTGCCCAATGTTCCTCCCACTCAGCTGCAAATTCTAGGTCTTTAACAATCTCTCTCATCTTCCCTATTTAAATAGTCTCAGTGGTTCTGATTCCCCGCAAACGTATTCCTATTGTAATGTCCTGTTTAGGTCTCTCATTATCTTTTTTTTTTAATTAAAAATAAATTATTGATTCTAGCCCTGGCTGGATTGGCTCAGCAGTTAGAGCGTCAGCCTGTGGACCAAAGAGTCTCGGGTTCGATTCCGGTCAAGGGCATGTATCTTGGTTTCGTTTGGGTCCCTGGCCCTGGTCGAGGTCGCGCAGGAGGCAACCAATTGATGTGTCTCTCTCACATCAATGTTTCTCTCTCTCTCTTTGGGGACAGCACGAGGGGGGATCAGGAGGAGGGTGTCAATGGGGGAAAAGGAGAAACATTTGTAACAAAAATGAATTAATAAAAAAATTAAAAGTTAGCCCTGGACAGTTGCTCAATGGTTAGAGCGTCGGCCTGCAGACCAAAGAGTCACAGATTCGATTTCAACCAAGAGCGCGAACCTCAGCTGCAGTTTGTCCCCGACCCCTCTGGGGCTGTGTGGGTGGCAGCCAGTCAAACTGTCTCTCACATCAATGTTTTTCTCTCTTTTTCCCCCTCCTACTCTGTCTGAAGATAAATGTAAAAATATCCTCAGGTGAGGATTAAAAAAAAATAAAATAAAATAAAAAAGCTATTAAAAAATTGATTCTAGAGAGAGGAAGAAAGAAACAACTGATGAGAGCTAAACATCAATCAGCTGCCTTCTACACACTCCCTACTGGGAACACAGCCCAATATCTGGGCATGTGCCCAGACCTGGAATCAAACCGGTGACCTCTCAGTGCATGGGATGACCCTCAACCAACTGAACCACACTGGCCAGGGTTCGTTATCTTTCAACTACATTATTAAAATAGGATTCTAACTGGCCACTCAGCCCTTAAAATTCCCCTTTACACTCCACCTTTTATGTACCCACTCAAGCTACCTTTCCAAAACACAGAAGTGCTTATATCACTCCCCTTACTCAAAGTTCAGTGCCTCAGTAGTCTAATACCTAAGCAAGGCATTTCAAATATTCTATATGTCTTCAAAGACTTCCAGTTCCAGCATCCCACTATATTCCTTAATAAACTATTTACTCCAACCCACACTAAATTCGCTATTAAATGAACACACTAAACTTTGTCAGTGCTCAAGGTCTTTGCTTGGGATAGTTCTTGAACCAGTAATAAATACCACCAGTCTACTTCTAATCTTGTGAAATCCTTTCCAGCCTTTAAAATCCAACTCAAATGCCATCTCCTCCATGAAGACTCTCTGATCCTTTCCCTCCAGTCAGAACAAATCTGTCCTTACCTTGGTGTTTTCACAACACACAGCTTAACCCTTCTTTAGCAATTATTTTATCCTCCTATGGGTGTTAGTTGTCTACATGGAAATTTTTCTCACTGGTTAGGTTTGTTGAGTTTATTCACCCGTCTCCCAATAACCTAGGACGATGCTGTGTACAAAGTAAACACTCAGAAAATATTTGCTGAATAAATAGATAAACCCATTAATTGAGGGGGGATAAAAAGCCAAAAGCCAAAGATTAAGTAACTTGCCAAAAATTAGGTATCTACTTAGATGCAAAACTTTAAAAACTAGGACCTAAATCTTCTGACTGCTGGTTCAGTTGACTTTACTCTGTCCACAGTAAGATAACACAAAGTGGAGTTTCTTCCTTAACAACAATAGTCCCTGACTTTAGTTAAAAATGTTTCTTTTATTCTCTTTGCAAATATACAGTATTGACCTTTTGCCAAAGCGAGGAAGTGCAAATTCTTAGATCCCAAGTTAATAACATTTAACTTCCAAATAGTGCCTAAATGCATTTCAGAGCCTCATGAGCAAGTGAAAGTGAAATAAACTTTAATAAAGTAACTGGATTCTTTTGCATGAAGAAACTTCAGAGGACAAATTCAACCTGCGAAATACGTCCAGGCTGTAAACACAGCCCACACCCCCGCCTTGAAATGACAGGCGAAGCAGAAACCTCGCGTCGGCAGCCTTCCTTCTAGACCCAGAAAGTAAGGGGATATATGAAAGAAGACCGTAGCTCTGGGGTGAAATATCCAGGGCAGAGTCCCCTTGGCATCAAATTTCCCCCATTACAACGGCCTTAGCGTAAGGCCCCAAGGTCCGCGGGCAGGCCCGGCTCCGAACGCAGTCCGGGCGCCCCCGCCCAGGGGATTTCGCTGACTCCGGCTTTCTCAGGACGGTCTTGTCCCCACACTCTGGCCCTCCACACCAAGGAAAGGGGCCGAAACATCGGCCCCAAAACACCGCGAGAGGAAGGGTCCAAGCCGTGGGGCTTCAGACCGGCCGCTCCCGGGCCCGCCAGATCCGGCAGGGGTGCCCAAGGGGGCGGTTTCCCCGTCCTCTCCGGGGGCGAACTCGGCCCGGGCCCCCGAGGAGCCATTGCTGGCTCCCTCCCTTTAGGGGACCACCTGGCCTAGCAAGTGTGGTCCGGCTCGCCCCGGAGCTCACCTTCGCGTCCCCGGCAGCCGTCAGTCCCTCGGTCGGTCCGAATTCCGTCCACACACAGCGTCTTCCGGCTCCTGCCGGAAGCAGCCCGAGCGCGGGACAGGAAGTTTGGCCGCCCCCACGCACACACCCACTTACTCGCCTCCTGGCCCGGCGGGGCCGCCCGGTGCGGGGTTCCGCACGAGGGGCAGCCGGCCGCCCCGGCTGGCGGCGCCGGGCTCCGCGCCGGGTCGGAGGGAGCCGTGCCCCCACCTCCCACTCATTCTCTGTGGGCCTTCGGGGCTCCATGGTCCGCGAAGCCAGAAAGAGGGGTCGGTTCATTCTGGCCGTGACGTCACTGCTTCCCTGCAGCAGCGGATGGGTAGTTTTCCTGTCAGCTGAGGTCAGTCCTAGCTACAGTGGAGGCGAGCGAGATCACCACTCACACATGGGTCAGGGTTCTCGGCGAAGGGAACCGAGAATGAACTCGCAGGATCTGGCTCTGCATTGTACACCGGACGGGGGAAGAACTGAGACGCCAGTGTAGAACTTTTTTTGGAATAGGAAGTCTAGCGCCTGGGCTCCACATATTTGGATGTAAAGAGCTCTGGGGTGTCCTGACCTGGAACACTGGAGGTGCGGGCTAGATACCACTACTTGTTAGAACTTTCTAAGTTTGACTGCCTGTCTGAAATTACTAATTCTTTGATACTGATTTTTGCCGAAACTTGACGAAGTTTCCCACTATCGACGAAGATAGTGGCAGTGGGAATTAAAAGAGTTCTCTAAGAAAGGCATTTTCAAGATTAAATTTAAGCCTTGATGAGAGGCATATAAATGGGTGGGAGCAGTAGTTTGAGTACACAAATGAAGGATGGTGATTTAAAAACAATGGAGAAACACGTTTCAGGGGAAGAGAATTCCTCTTCAGATAAAGCGAGTTTATCCCAGTTCAAGGGATATTTATGTGGAAGTAAAGGTCTGGAGCTCAAATGAGAAAGAGATCAAAAATAGAGATGTAGATATGGGAGTTATCAACATACAGAGATGAAACCCTCTGTGGAGATGAAATGGTCCAGGAAAAGTATATAAAACAAGAAGAAGAGAAGGCCACTGAAGTAAACTGGAATGACTGATTACTAACACAATTTGAATACACTTTCTACAAATGTTGCCAACAAAAGTATATTGCAGTGTGTAAACAGGTGACCGTAAACCTGCAGGACACTCAGAAAACTACCCTCAATTTTACTTTTTTATTTACTTATTTATTTTTATCTTCACCTGAGGACATTTTTGCATTTATCTTTAGATAGAGCGGGAGGGAGGGGGAAAGAAAGAGAAACATCGATGTGAGAGAGACACATCCACTGGCTGCCACCCACACGACCCCAACTGTGGCCTGGGACAAACTGCAACCAAGGTAGGTGCCCTTAGGGGGAACTGAACCCGGGACTCTAACCGCTGAGCCAAACCAGCCAGGGAGTTGATCACAATGAATAAAACAAACCCTCTTTTTTTTTTTTTTGAGAATCACTGCTTTATTTTTTTCCTTTTCATTGAATGTATTGGAGTGACATTGGTTAACAAAATTATACAGGTTCCAGTGTATAATTCCATAACATTTAACCTGGACACTATATTGTGTGTTCATTACCCCAAGTTAAGTCTCTTTCCATTACCATTTATCCCTCTATACCCTCCTCTACCTGTCCCCACCCCCACAAACTCTCTTATTTAGAGGTTCATTAGTAAGTCTTGAATATTCATGTTTTTAATTATTTATTAATTTGCCCATTCAATCCTGATATATTTTTTTAAATCTTCACCTGAGGATACTTTTTCCTTTTATCTTCAGATAGAATGGGAGAGAGAGAGAAAAAAACATCAACATGAGAGAGACACGTCCATTGGTTGCCTCCAGCATAATCCAAACGGGGATGAACCAAAACCTAAGTACCTGCCCTTGGTCAGAATCGAACCCACAACTCTTTGGCCCGTAGGCTGATGCTTTACCGCTGAGCCAAAATGGCCAGGGCCAATCCTGAGATTTTTTTTTTAAGCTGTTTTTGTTGTCTTAATCTTCTTTTTTTAATCCTCACCTGAAGACATTTTTCCATTTTTTGTTCAGATAGAGTGGGAGGAAGAGAGAAAGAGAGAGAAACATCGACGTTAAAGGGACACATCGAGTGGTTGCCACCCGCATGACCCAACCATGGCCGGGGACAAACTGCACCCGAGTTCCATGCCCTTAGCGGGAACCGAACTCGGGTCTCTCTGGATCGCAGGCCAACGTTCTAACTGCTGAGCCAAACTGGCCAGGGCTGTCTTAATCTTTTTAATCACCTGAAACACCACGTGATGTTTTTATCTATTTGCCCTTGAAATCTTGACAGCTATTTGACAGTATGTGCCTGCTAACCTAAAATAAACATATGCTTTTATCAATAAATATTTGAGTTTTTAGGCTATACAGTAAATTATTTGACATAACACAAACAGATCATCTTCTATAGTTAATGCAGTCTCTCCATCAACCTAATCAACCTTTACTTATCTTCTCATACTACTCCCAACACAAAGCCTCTGCTCTCCTATCCCAAAAACTGTCCCATAAGCTCTGAATTCCCCCCAACCCCTACACACTCTTCCATTAAGTCCCTTTTCCATCTGCAGTATGGAAAGGCCATCCCAATTCTCTTATGCCAAGATTCAGTTCAAGAATGATGTAAAACATTTCCAGTTCTACAAATATTTCCTAAGTGCCTTTCAGCCATTCCATTTTCAATAAAAGCTATTAATTTTAAAAAGCTGTTTTCTGTGATCCACTGACAGTTGTATCAAATCTCCAGTGGTTTCAGAATATCTGATAAAGATAGAATGTCTGTAATAGTTTAGCAAAAGAAATAAAAATAGATCATGTTGACTTCAATATATCACTGTAAATAATATGTTAGATGTACAGTACATATATAATATTGAAGACTTAGGAAAGAATTATGTTTTGCAACTAAAAATAATCACCTATGATTACATTTAAATCAAAAGCTATCTTTAAGGTTTTTTTAAATGTATCTTGAAAATCTTTATGCTAAATGGAAAGAAATCTGTATTTCCTTGATGAAGACATTTATAGAGATTGCAAGGAGGTTTCTTCTGAAATGCAAACTATCTGCTTTCCAATATTACCTCCTGTCATCATGGACTGGAATGCAGCTGGAAAAAAAACAAAAACTAGGTTATCTGAAAACATAAATATCACTATCAAACATGTTTATCAGCTAGTTAGACAACATATTAATTTGAAAAATTACTTCAGTGATTTTAATATTAATTATAGAAGAAAACTATCATGAAAAGAAACTTCATATAAACACTGGCAAAAAGTTACAGGACAAACAAACCCAGTTAGCATCTTTAAAAATTGTTTTTACCCAAATTAGAAATGTTTAATTAGTGTCTACATCAACACTCATGGTTTACAGTCTGAAGACTAGAGGCAAATAAGTATAAAGATAAAATGTCGGCAAAACAAATTTTTAAATAACAGTTAAAATATCAGAAACCTAATGATAAAGTTTTACTAAGTGAAATACACATCTGTTATGCCAGAAAAAATAAGTAAAATTTATATTTCTGTTTGGTAAACTTAGTAACCAAATATATTAAATTTTTTTCTGAAAAAGATTTTAAAAATGTTAATTTGATTAATCCTTTTTATTTAAAACAAACAAAAGAATGTTGGAATCTGTGTATGTTAGGCAAAAAAACAAACCAAAAACCTAAATATTGAAAATTTGCTTAATATAATTTTTTGATGTCTTAGAACAGCGGTTCTCAACCTGTGGGTCGTGACCCCTTTGGGGGGGTCAAACAACCCTTTCACAGGGGTCGCCTAAGACAACAGTAGCAAAATTACTGTTATGAAGTAGCAATGAAAATAATTTTATGGTTGGGGGTCACTACAACATAAGGAACTGTATTAAAGGGTCCTGGCATTAGGAAGGTTGAGAACCACTGTCTTAGAACCATTTGATCAATCAGAAAAAGTTACCCAGAGGCTAAATGACTTTCATGATTCTTATTTTTTTCATAGGCTGTTTATGAAAACAAAGAAACACTTTATGATTTGAAATGTAAAAACAATACCTCTTTTTAAAAATGTTTTTATTGCCCTGGCCAGGTTGGCTCAGCGGTTAGAGTGTCGGCCTGCAGTACAGAGAGACCTGGGTTCGGTTCCCGCTAAGGGCACGTACCTCCGTTGCAGTTTGTCCCCGGCCCTGGTTGGTCGTGCGGGTGGCAACCACTCGATGTGTCCCTTCACATCGATGTTTCTCTCTCTCTCTCTTCCTCTCTCTCCCTCCCGCTCTGTCTGAACAAAAAAATGCAAAAATGTCCTCGGGTGAGGATAAAAAAATAAAATGTTTTTATTGATTTTTTAGGGAAAGAGAGATAGAAACATTGATGTGAGAGAGAAACATCAATCAGCTGCCTCCTGCACACCTCACACTGGGGATCGAGCCCAAAACCCAGGCTTGGGCCCTGACTGGGAATCAAACCAGAACCTCTCAGTCCATGAGACAATGCTCAGTCCACTGAGCCACACCAGCTAGGCAAAAAAAAAAACAAAAAACCCACCACAATACCTCTTAAATATCACTAAATTGAACTTTCAGGGAGTTTGATTGAGATATTTAAGGAAAACTAGGACAGTTTTACAGGAAAAAAAAATAATTTAAAAAGAAAAAAATCAGAAGTAAAATTAAAAGAAAAAAGGAATATTTGTGGTAAATATATAGATATAATCTACATCCATCTTACCTCCCATGTTTTCTAATCCATTTATCATAGTCTCTTTGATCTGTAAATCAAAACTATATTTAGTATTCTTCTTTAGACTTCAATGTTTCTACTTAATAGTTTCCATGCTTGCAAAAGGCAGCAATACTATTTAGCACTTTCTAAAAATAGATATTTTTTATTTCATGTAGGTAGCCCAAAATGGCTTCCTACCAATGGTTTTTTTAAAAAAATTAGACAATTTTCCCATTGTCTAATCTTCTATTGGTAACAGCACAAGCTATACACCCTCTCTTCCAAAAAATAGTACATAAGCACACACATACAACTTTGCCTATCATTTGCAGGTTTTAAGAACATGCTAGGTCAGGATCTCTGGCCTCAGATTAATAACTCCTGATTTTCAACCAACAACCTAGAGATACATCAGAAAGGGAGGGCAGAGAAGAAGTATGGTAGAGAGGTAGGGGTACTAGGAGGTGCTTATAAGGTTTTTGAGAAAGCACAGCTTCTAATACACAGTAACATTCCATATTAATATTTGTTAAATTAATAAGTATTAAAATCTGAGAGGAAAAACCTATTGATCTTACAATATAATCTAATAAAAGTAAAAGGTTAATAAAATTTCAGATAAAGGGAATAATAAGAGAGGGCTTCTCATCTAGGAGATTGAATCACCTGGGAGGTAATGTTAATTTATAATATTCAGTACACTTCCCTTTTGTAGGAATTTTTATTATGAAACTAGTATGTTTGCTATAATAAATTCAAATAATACAAAAACATATCAAATAGCAGGAAGAATGCTACTGATAAAGAACAGAAGCAAGTTCTACCTTTAGTTTTCCTTCTTTAAACCATTGACTCAGCTGTAGAATAGCAGGCTCAAATTTGTCCTTATAATTTAACACCAGAAATCTTTCTCTGTAATGGGGAAGAAAAGGATAATGATCAGAGACCAGAGAAGGAATAAAAGATTCCAAAATAAAGTCATTCCAGAACTCTACTGTTAATCTTTCAAACATTAGGACTTAATCACACAGAGTCTGGCCAGATATAATTTTAGGTATAGTTAAAGGTATAAGTGTAGTGGACTTCTATTGTTTTGTCTGCCCAACATTTACAACCCCATTTGGTAATAGCATTGTGATTTTACTTTGTGGATAACAGCCTTTCCCTACCGGATGTGACCAAAGCCAGGCCAGTTTGAGCCATAAAGTATTAGCTTTGGGAAGTGATAAAACTGCAAGGAGAGAGTTGTTCTCTTTTTTGCTTGGAATGCTAACCTGGTAAAATATAAGACTAGAGATGTCATCCTCTCACTGCTGCAAAAGGAGAGCCTGTGAGGAACACAGCCAACTAAGAAGAACACACAGCCCAGAGGTGGAGAAAAACTGAGTCATGACTCCACTATGCAAACCCTTTATCCAGCCAAATCTCAGCCAGCACTGTACTAATATTGGATTTCTCAGATACATGAGCCAATAAATTTCCTTTGCACTTAAGCCAATGTGATTGGGTTTCTATCACTTGCAAAAAAAGACTTGTAAAAGATTGATACAACAGATGCAATTTGCAAAGTTTTCTGCCAAAGAGCTAGTTAACCAAAACCTAAATAGTGAACCAGATTAAAATGTATATTTTTACTGCCCTGGCCAATTTGGCTCAGCGGTTGAGCGTCAGCCTGCGGACCAGAGAGTCCCGGGTTCAGTTCCCACTAGGGGCACGTACCACAAAAAAATAAATAAATAAAATAAAAATAAAATGTATCTTTTCAAATTTTACTTAATAAGGAAAAATTGCATTTGGAGAACAACACATTTCATATACATCTATGATCTTTAAACCCCTTGGATCTGGTAATGACAGGTAGAACACACCTTGTAATGTTTCTTTCTTTCTGGATTGCCTCTACAGCAGGAGGTAGTGGAGGAGGATAAGGCACATCTTTGTTGTACTGAGAAATCTGACCACACAGGATGATGTGGCTGTTCTGATTCATCTGTTCAGATAAAATTGATGATTATACCCTAAGATATATGCCTTTCCAATATATATGATGTTATGGCTGTCTCAAAGAAAGCCTCCTTGACCAGTGTATTTAATCATTTAGTGCCAATTAATTGATTTCATTTTAAGATTTACCCATTATATGTATTTAAGAGTTTCAATTGGCTAGAAAATAATTCCACTCCCAAGGAACATAGAGGTAAGTGAGAATTTGGTAATCAGCAATAGAATTACATTAGTTGTCGTCATTGTTGTTGCTACTTTTAGTAGTTGTAGCAGAGTATTTCTTTGTGTTTAAACAATTTAACCTCAGTTGCAAGTAATTTTACATACAGTAAAGGGCAATGCACTGTTAATAGCTGATGCTGATATTTTATAACACTGTCAATAAAAGTATGTAAATATCTGCAATCTATGAAAATCCATTCCCTACTCAAAGTCAGAGGCCATGGCTGTGAGTTGTTTGATGTTGAGTCAGGAGTCAGAACTTCACCATTTGAACAATACAACTCTTATTTTTCACAAAAATAAACTGCAGGAGAGAAATATACTATTGCTAGCAAAGAACTGAAATTGATGCTCACTGCAAATCTGCAAGCAAATGGAAGTAGATATATCAGCAAGCTCTTCTGTATCATTTAACAGTACTGATCACCATATTATTTTTCATAATAAATTCTACAATCTTATAAAGATTTTTTCTCTCAGTATCAGGTAAAGATATATCACATCAAATAAAATATAGCATTCAAATGTATAATGAACAAATCAGCAAACAACCTGACTTATCACTGTATTACTTATGTCACCGCCAACGTTGTCAAAGTAAACATCCACGCCAGCTGGGCATAATTCACGGAGGCGCTCTGCTACATTCTCTTTCTTATAATTAATTGCAGCATCAAAACCCAGTTCTGAGGTCAAAAGGAGGCACTTCTCATGTGTTCCACAAATTCCCACCACTCTTGAACAGCCCATCAGGTGACCAATCTAGGGAGGAAATTTTTAGAAATTAAACAACCTTCTATTGTCATATTTAAATTTTAAGATGTGAAAGCATACAAGATATTACAAGCATGTAAGAGTGTTCATCACAATTTAGGTTAGGCTATAGGGCTTTCAGCTAAAAGTACTTTGAAATCAAAAGAAATGAGAATACATATAATGTCATTCTTAAAAACATTAAGATTCAATAAAATTAGACTCAGCTTGAATGTTAAAATCTCAGAATTTAAAGCTGATTTTATAAAAGGAATGGTCAGACCCCTAACATCACTAATTTGCAATTTAATATTTTTTCAGTGACTGGATTTTAGGAGTATTATGCTAAATGAAATAAGTCAGAAGAGTGAAGAACTGTATGCTTTCACTCATATGTGGGACATAAAACAAAAAGCAACAAATGAACTAACAAAAATCTCATAGATACAGACAATAGAATGGTTACTAGATGGGAAGGGAGGGAAGGGGAGGACAAAGAGGGTAAAGAGGGTCAAATATATGGTGACAAAAGGATATTAGCCCAGGTGGTGCACACACAATAGAGTACACAGATGTCATATAATAAAGTTGTACAATTGAAATTTATATAATGTTATTACCCAATATAACTCTAATTAATGCAATTTTTTTAAGTTTTAAAATATTTTTCAGGCCTATGAGTAAATTCACTACTAAAATAAAATGTTTTATTTCAGTGGTTTCATACTATAAAGGCTATTACTCATAAAAACAATGCACTTTATAAAATTCTATCATAATATTTACTGTATTTTTTGAATGGATGAGAGCTTTCTTATTTGAAAAATTTTTTTTTTACAATATAAGTTTGTTTTGTTTTCTTGTTTTTTTAATCCTCACCCGAGGATATTTTTCTATTTATCATCAGATAGAGAGGAGGGAGGGGGAGAGAGAGAGACAGACACATCAATGTGAGAGAGACACATCAAATGGTTGCCTCCCGCATGACCGGGTCCAGGGCCGGCAATGAACCGCAACCGAGTTACGTGCCCTTGACGGGAATTGAACCCAAGACTCTGTGGTCCGAGGGCCGATGCCCTAACCACTGAGCAAAACCGGCCAGGGCATGAGTTTGTTTTTCAATTCATGAATTCCACACAGGTACTCTGATTTTCTTCCTTATATCGTTCTAGCATTTCCCATGTCTATTTTTGGTCAGAGAACAAGATACAAAAATATACAACATTTTTCATGTTGTTATAAAGACAGTCTAAACAGGTAATAACATCACTTCTACCATAAATGTGTAAAATAATCATATTATAAATTTGTTCAATTTTATATTTTAAATTGTATACATGATCTACAGATTCAATTATGACTACTTTTTTAGAAAATCAAATAATTCTCAGAAATTATTACCTGCCCAGCCAAGGATCCACAAGCACCAGCAGCCCCACTTACAACCATGGTCTGATTAGATCCAGCAGTTATGTGACCTTTTTCCTGTATTCCAATCAAGGATGTTAAACCAACCATACCAATAGCTCCAAGAAAGTATGAAAGGTGTCCATCCACGAGTTTCGGGTCTACCTAAAATGAAATATATACCTTTTAAAAATAATACTAGGAATTCCTGTTTTAAGTCAAGAAGGTAGAGACAACCTTCTGAATTGTGTCTTCTTGTGGACAAAAAAGGAATTCTATGGAAAGTAACTTCACAGGGTGATCTGATCATAAATTCCTAACTGGGCAGGTCGTGGTGGGTAGTCACACCCCAGACATATAAATTCTTTAGTAAAAGATTTATTTTTGCCTTAGCCAAGCCCTATCCATTAGTCTTGTCCATCTTAGGTTAACTCTCTTTTGAAATAAACCTAACCAATTTTAAGACAGCACATAACCTCGTTAACTATCCTGTAATCCAATCACTGCCTTGCTTTCTCCTTCCTTAGTGTAATTTTATGTTCCCTTCTTAATTTCAAAGTGCATAAAAGAAAATGTGAAACTGTTATTCTCCGGAACATCTGAGTTCTTGCTTCCCAGCAATTGTCATCAGTTTGGCTCAAATAATTTCTTATAAAAATTCTCTACAGGCCCTGGCCAGTTTGGCTCAGCAGTTAGAGCGCTGGCCGTGGTCCAGAGAGTCCCGGGTTCAGTTCCCACTAAGGGCACATACCTCGGTTGTGGTTGATCCCCGGCCCTGGTTGGGGTCGTGTGGGTGGCAACCAGTCAATGTGTCTCTCTCACATTGATGTTTCTCTCTCTCTCTTCCTCCCCCTCTCCCGCCCGCTCTATCTGAAGATAAATGTAAAAGTGTTCTCGGGTGAGAATAAAAATTTTTAAAAAGGAAAATAAAAATAAAAATTCTCTACAGGCCCTGGCCAGTTTGGCTCAGCAGTTAGAGCGTCGGCCTGCGGTCCGGAGAGACCTGGGTTCGGTTCCTGCTAAGGGCACGTACTTCGGTTGCAGTTTGTCCCCGGCCCTGGTTGGTTGTGCGAGTGGCAGCCACTCGATGTGTCCCTTCACATCGATGTTTCTCTCTCTCTCCTTTCCTCTCTCTCCCTCCCACTCTATCTGTACAAAAAATGGAAAAATATCCTCGGGTGAGGATAAAAAAATAAATAAATAAAATTCATATGTTGAATACCTCCCCCTTTAATGTAACTATACTGGGATGGCAAAAGTAGGTTTACAGTTGTGAGTACATGAAATACAGTTTATTCTTCTTTTATTATTAGTATTAATTGTATTAATTGTATTATTTTCCATATGAACAACTGTAAACCTATTTTGCCCACCCATGTGTTTGGAGTAGGGCCTTTAAGTAGATAATTAAGGTTAAATGAGGTCACAAAAGTGAGACCCTAATCCAATAGGGCTTATGTTTCTATAAAAAGAGGAAGAGACACCAGTGATCTCTTTCTCTGCACAAGTAAAGGGGAAAGGCTGAATGCCATATGAAGACACAGCAAGAAGGCAGCCATCTGCAAACCAGGAAGAAAGGCTTCACCAGACACCAAACTTTCTAGCATCTTGTTCTCAGGCTTCTAATCTCCAGAACTGTGAGAAAATAAATAGAGAGGAAAGACTTAACAGGAAGACACCAGGTGACGTTGGAAGGTTTTCAAATCTCTGAGCAATTCCAAAGTAAGCATTTATCTACCCAAAAATCAGCTCAAACACTAACAGTTCTCATTACTGATGCTTAAACTATATCATAAAAATGTAAGGAAAGTGTGATATAATTTATTGTTTTAACTACAAAATAAAATGAAATCTCTCTTAACTTTTTTTTTCTTTATTGATTTTAGAGAGAGAAGAATGGAGAGAGAGAGAAAGAGAGAAACATCTATGAGAGAGAACATCAATTGGCCACCTCCTTCATGCCCCCCCACTTGAGATTGGGCCCACAACCTGGTCATGTGCCCTGACTGGGAATCGAACCAGTGGCCTCTTGGTGCATGGGTCAGTGCTCAACCTTTGTGCCACACCGGCCAGGCTCTCAACTTCTTTTTAGCATTTTGTATTTATATGTTTACTGGGTCCTATCAATAATCATACTTCTCACCCAGCCAGTGTGGCTCAGTGGTTGAGGGTCGACCCACGCACCAGAAGGTGGCTGGTTGGATTCCCAGGGCACATGCCCGGGTTGTGGGCCCAGTCCCCAGTAGAGGGCATGCAGGAGGTGGCCAATTGATGTTCTCTCTAATCAATGTTTCTCTCTCTCTCTCCCTCTCCCTTCCTCTCTCTCTAAAATTAATAAAGAAAAAAAATTTTTTTAGTAATAATAATAATTATACTTCTCTTACATTTTTGTGTCTTTTTTTTTCTTATGTGTAAAATTGGGGAGAATTGAAAAAATGATATAGAAAGACTCCCTACCATAAAGGGTTTGGGGTTTTTAAAAAATATTTTGTTATTGATTTTTAGACAGACAGGAAGGAGAAGGAGAAAGAGAGAAACATCAATGTGAAAGTGAAACATCAGTTGCATGCCCCCTACCCAGGATCGAGCCTGCAACTGGGGCTTGTGCCCTGACTGGGAATCAAACTGGCAACCTTTGGTGCATTGGACGATGCCCAACCATCTGAGCTACATTGTCTGTTGCCATAAACGTTTTATAATAACTCTTTAAGGAGTTAAAAAACTTCAGTAAAAATGTAATAAACCACTGAAAGTAGTCAAGATTTACTACCTTAGTTTGATTTGTACTTAAACTGCTACAAAGAAATAAAACAGCATTTTGTATTAAGCAGTTTTAAATGGCTATCAGTTAAATTTGATGTGCGGATAAGCATAATGGAGATACTAAATTTACAATACACAGAAAGGTCTACAGTATCAGAAATATTTTACGTAGGTAATAGTTATTTATTATTAAAGCCAGTATAAAAACAGTGCGAGTTGCCCTGGCCGGTTTGGCTCAGTGGTTGGAGCGTTGGCCTGAGGACCATGGAGTCCCGGGTTCAGTTCCCACTAGGCCCTAGTGGCTAGAGGCACGTAACAGAAAAAAAAAAAATGTCCTTGGGTGAGGATTAAAAAAAAAAACAGTGCGAGTTAAGTTTGAGTTCAGCAAATATCATTTCTCCATCCCTTCTGAACCCACCTTCCTCATTTCTAATACATATTCCCAAAGCACTGTTAAGCTCTCCCCAACTGCTCAATTTCCCATGACAGCACAATTATAGGAAAAACTAGAAACTGCTGAAGATTTCTTTTTCACTTCCTGCTAAGAAATTTCTAGGTAAATATATTTTGCTAGTACCAGTAAGTTGACAAATGATTGCATAATGTCTCATGTCATGTGTATATTACAGCCACTTTTAACTGATTATAAAAATGTGTACTAATAAAAAAATACTAAAAATTTACATATCTTTTTTGTTTTTGTTTGTTTGTTTATTTTTTGGTACATGCCCCTAGTCGGAACCGAACCCAGGACTCCTGGTCCACAGGCCAACGCGCCAACCGCTGAGCCAAACTGGCCAGGGCATATATATCTTTTTAAAAATCTTAAGTTTCATTTGTCATGGCATTTAATTTTCACATTCACTTGTAAGATAGCTATTATTTTCATTTGCACATGAGGAAACTGAAGTTTAGAAACATAAAGTAACTTCCTAGATGACATCTATTAGGTCGAATTACAGGGTGGGACAAAAGTAGGTTTGTTGTTGTGAGTACACAAAATAGAGTTTAATCTTGTATTATTATTTATTAATTATTGTATTATTTTCCATAATCACAACTGTAAAAATACTTTTGCCCTACCCTGAACATGAAGCCACCAGTTTTTACAGGTCAAAACAGACAAATATTGGTAATCTCACATGGTTCAACCTAATAGAAACCAAACTTAGAATTTTTGACACTAGATGGAATTTCAAGCACAAATTAAAGGAATTTCTTAAGTGTCAATTTCTCAGGCAACTTTAAAGCCTACACCTATTAGGTGCCCTCTGGTTCTTAGTATAAAATATTTTTTGATGCTTATAGATCAGATTTTATTTTATATATGTAAAATTTGAGAAATAAATTAAATATGGAAAACAACACCACTCTTTGGTAATCTAAGAACTGTCATATATAATTACAGCCAATAGTAGAAAAGAAACAAAGGCTTTCCACATTTTTGCAGTTATCTAAAAGAAAATGTATGCTTTTATTTTTGTCCCCTGGTAACAAACAGAACTGAAAAACAAAGGCACAAAATAAGAATTACAGAGGGGATTATTTTATACATCACCTTTTCTAGGCTATTTCCATCCAGAATAACTTTGGTTTGCCAGGGCCAATAGAAAGAAGTTACAAAATCGCCTTTAGTAAAACTGGAATGTTTGCTTTCTTCTATAATCCCAATACCTCCACCGTCAACCACTTGAGACAGCTGCCAAGGTGCTAAATAATCAGATCCAGTGTCTTCATTCATTTTACAACGCTAAAAAAAAAAAAGAAAACACTGATTAGCATAATTCTGTCTAATAATACTGAACCAGTCTATTAATTTACCCAGTGACTAAAAGAAAGGTATATAATAAGTAATGTAAAGTGTCAAACAAATAAAATTTATCTTAATTTCTATCTTCCTTTCAGTTATTTTTTTTATTCTGAAAAAAATTGTATCCTCTCTCTAACAAGTAAAGAAGTGCAATTAAAAAGGAATTTAAGTATATTCTAAAGTTAGATTGTGGTGATAGTTCCACAACTTTGTGAATAGACTAAAAACCATAAATTAAACACTTAAATGTGTGAATTGTATAAGTGTATTATATTTCAATAAAGCTGTTTAAAAAATTTTTTTCTCTATTGATTTTAGAGAGAGAGGATGGGAGAGGGAGAGAGAGATAGAAACATGAATGAGAGAGAACATCGATTGGCCACCTCCTGCATGCCCTGCCCTGGGGATCGGGCCCACAACCTGAGCATGTGCCCTGAATGAAAATCAAACTGGTGACCTTTGGGGCGAGTCGATGCTCAACCACCGAGCCACACAAGCCGGGCAAGCTGTTAAAATTTTTAAACAATTACTTAAAGAAATGTAAGTAATATTACATACATTATGGTAGCAAAAGTAATACAAACTACTGTGCCAATGGTTTCAATGGATTGTAGCAAATTAGGTATGCTTACATGTTGATGATGATATTATAAAACTGTCTACTTTTTGTAGAAACAAATGAGTAACATATAGGCCATAATGGTACTCATTTCTTTTGGCCTAGCAATTCCACTTCCCCAATGGAAATAACACAAAAAGAAATGAAACTATTTTTATACAGTTGCTTGTCACCATCCCTTCTGAACTCCTCTTCTTCATTTCTAATACTATCTATTCCCAAAGCATTTTAAAGACTTCCCCAACTGCTCAATTTTCCACAGTAATACAGACCAAGCACTACATCATAACCCTAACCTCAAATGGATGTTCTCTTTTTTAATGTTTTGTTTTGTTTTTGTTAATCCTCACCTGAGAATATTTTTCCATTGATTTCTTTTTTTTTTCTTTTTATTTACTATTTTCAAGCTTTATTTACTACTGGGAAGTAATCAGGACATTTGGAAGAAACTAACTGCATGTGCTACTATTATGAAAACCTTTCTCCTATAACATTCCTTAATAACACTAGTGAATAAAAGCAAAGGCGATCTGTAATTCACAGGTATCAAAATATAATTGCTCAAATATTTACTAATCGTGAGGATTGCACAATAAAATGCAGATACAACACAAAAAATATAAAAGTAAAATTAATTTTCACCAAGTCACAAAATCCTGACTCTTACCATGTAAGGATCCACAGAAAGATAAAGAGTTCTGACTTGTACTTGTCCTTCATTGATATTATCTGGTAAATTTACTTCTTCTACTCGGAAATTTTCTGCCACTGGATTACCATTTTTTCCTAAAATATTAGGTAAAAATATAAAATAAAAAACTCACTTTCTTAAATATTTATTATTATTTCAAAGTTCACTCTAAGATTCAAAGCACTCTCTTTTAACTTAGGCATGAGTAAATCTATATTGTTTTGTAATTTCTCTGTAACCAGACATAAATTCTTCAAATAGTTTTAGTAATTGCTTTTCATTTTCTCCAAGAAGATCCTTTGGAATATTGCTGCCAACTTTAAAATTTCTTTTTTGCTAATCCTCACCCAAGGATATTTTTCCATTGATTTTTAGACAGAGTGGAAGGGAGGGATGGGGGGAGAAAGAAAGAGAGAGAGAGAGAGAGAGAGAGAGAGAGATAAACATTGAAGTGAGAGACCGGGAATCAAACCCAAGACCCTTTGGTCCTAGGGCTGATGTTCTAACCGCTGAGCCAAACTGGCCAGTGCTAATATTTCTTTTTTAAGATGACTACAGGTAACCCTGGCTGGCTTGGCTCAGCGGTTAGAACATCAGCCCTCAGAACAGAGTCAGGGATTGATTTCAATCAAGGGCATGTACCTCAGCTGCAGTTTGGTCCCCTGCCCTAGTTGGGGTCATGTGAGAGGCAACCAATCGATGTGTCTCTCTCACATCAATGTTTCTCTTTCTCTCTCTCCTCTCTCCCTCTCTCTCCCTCATACTCTATCTAAAGATAAATGGAAAAATATACTTGGGTGAGGATTTAAAAAAATAAATAGTTAGGTAAATTTTCCTTCCTCATTTTAAGAAGAAAACAGAGGTCCAGCCGGTGTGGCTCAGTGGTTGAGCATTGACCCATGCACCAAGAGGTCACTGGTTGGATTACTGGTCAGGACATATGCCCAGGTGTGGGCCTGATCCCTAGTGGGGGACATGCAAGAGGTGGCCAATCAATGTTCTGTCTCATCAATGTTTCTATCTCTCTCTCCCTCTCCCTTCTTCTCTCTCTAAAATCAATAAAGAAAAACCTTAAAAAAAAAAAAAGAATAAAACAGAAACTTGAATATAATTTTTTTAAAGTCTTAAAATTTAGAAAATTTAAAATATGAAAAGAAAAATCTATAAGCAGAAAATGTCATCACTAAAAGTGTACTCCTATTAAGTTACATTGAACATAAGCAAACTTCCTATTCATTTAATCATCTCATTTCTAAAGTGGGAATAGAATGCAAAGATTTTAATCTAACTGCTCACTTTACTAAAACTGAGAAGGTTAAGTGACTTCCCCGCTCACATGCTAGACAGGCAGCAAAACCAAGGCAGCATGAGCCCAAACCTCTCAGGTTACTTCCATATCCGTTTCTATGACTCGAGTTAGAGGTCAGCACAGACATAGGTCAGTGCTGTTCTCATAAAACAGAAAAGTACATTTTAAGAATCAATGATACATACTATAAAGAAAAAAAAGCCATATATTTGTAATATAACTTTTAAAATAGTATCATTCTATTTTAAAATACTTTATTTTTTTCAACAAATGGCCTTGATAAGTAATCACCTGAGAAACTGAATATTATATTGTTTAAAGATTTTCTTCTAATACCTCTGCTACTGTTAATATCTTCCTACCTCAATTTACCACAGTGACATTATACAGATACTTTTGTTCTTCCATTTCTATTAATAATTAACAAAGATCACAGCTCTTCATCAATCATAGATAAATACATACCAGGTCGGGAATTCAATATCACTCTTTGTACAATCATCACCTTGTTTGCACAGGGATCTCACAAGATTTCTGTATAAGGTAATTCCTACTGATAGAAAACATTTTAAATCACAAGAAGGTTTGAAAATATTAAACAATTTAAAAAATTTAAAAAGCACATTTGTGTTTCTGCAAAGGGGAGAATAAAAATCATATTTGGGATCCAAAAAAGATAGAGTGCCCTGTCAGAGTTTGTCTCCTAAAGCAAATATATGGAGAAGGACTAAGTCTAATTAGAATTTTTGCTTAATAGGAACAAGTTTGTTGAAGACTGGGTGGGGCAGAATGTTTTTGCCTCATAATTCAAGTACATTCATCTATATACCATCATGATTAAGCCTCCTAAAGTGGCTTGATTAAAAGAAAACAGCATGATATATTCCTATGAAGCTGGCCAATTAATCTAATAGCAAAATATAAACATTAGCTGCTTAATTGAGATGTAACCAAATTTTTAAAAATTCTATTACTCACTTATCAAAATGGAAATTTCTTAATAGTTTTGCTGATCATAAAATACATTAAAAGCATTTTTTAAAATTCTCAGCTTATAATAAATTCTGTAATATAGAATGGCTGAATAAGTAAAGGTCCAATTTATTCTGGGTTCACAATTTGAGCAAAATGAAAGAAGCAAAATGAAGTTCCAGTGCTGACACTATCCATCTTGGGGGAAATAGCCCTGCTTGCTTTATCCATCAGTAAAAAAGAGAACAAATCCTTAGTGAGTGTTACAATGTTACACTGTTGTGAGTGCTATGAAATATATATTCATTTAATATTTAATAATATCTAATATATATTTATTTTATCTAACAATCTTATTATTATTATCTCCATTTAATAGATAAGAAAACTGAGCATTAAAAAGTTTAAACACTTCCTAAGGTGGTAGAGCTGATATTCAAACCCGAGTCATCTGATATTCCTGAACCAATCTTTTAACTACTACATAAAAATGTCCATTCTATATGTTTGTTATTTGATTTTTAAGACACTATGCAAATATTATCATTTTAAAAATTAATATATTTACTTCTGTCTTCTCTCATTATTTTGTTTTATAGCTGTTATTATATTCATCATATTAATAATAACATTGAGAAACCCAAAGAAAAACAATGATATCAATCATATATTTTTTATAACATTGCACCATATATATAGTTGCTAGTATCTTTTTTAAATGTAACAATTTCATACAGCAGCACTCATACATTTGACAATCATCTGTACATCCATTACATTTGATACTTAATAATCCCTTGCCTTGTATCACTGGGTAAATTCATTTATATATGACTCTACTCCGCTTCTAGTTTCTAAGTTTGCAGCATCATTCTTAATATTTTTCTGCATCCTATATAGTACCTGAGTATCCTACACAGACCTAAGATTCCACTTACTCCTGCATCCTATATAGTACCTGAGTATCCTACACAGACCTAAGATTCCACTTACTCCTTATAACAAAGTTATATAGGTAAATATGTTACTATCCTCCTTTTACAGAGGAGGTTGAGGTACAGGTTGTACCCAAGATCACACAACAGGTAAGCAGAGGAGTTGAGAATGAAATGCAAATCCCCTCATCCCAGATCTCACATGTCCTCACTCTTTCCACTATTTCCCTACAATCTTCCTCATTTTTACATCTACAGCCATGCAGTGATGCCCAACTCTCCGGTAGGTATCCTTTACTAGAGGAGGAAATTATCTCCTAATTAAGACCTAAACATCTGATGTTAGTAACATTCTGAAAAATAGAATGAAGAACATGGACATGCATCCTACTTGATTCTTATTTTTTGTAATATATATATTTTTAGTCCTCACCTGAGGATATTTTTCCATTGATTTCTAGATAGAATGGAAGGGAGGGAGGGAGGGAGAGGGAGGGGGAGAGAGAGAGAGAGAGAGAGAGAGAGAGAGAGAGAGAGAGAGAGAGAGAAAGATCGATGTGAGAGAGACACATCTACTGGTTGCCTCCTGCACGACCCTGACCAGGGCTGGGGATCAAACCTGCAACCCAGGTACGTGTCCTTAACCAGGAGTCGAACCAGTGATCCCTCTGTACATGGGCCAACGCTCTAACCACTGCGCCAAACCAGCCAGGGCATAATGTATATATTTATAATCTCACTGGTTGACATTAATGGCTAGTTTCCCTCAATATCCATTCTCTCCTTATGAATACAATGCTACCTAGCTAAAAAAATTGCCTTTCCCAGCTTCCCCTTAAAATAAATCCCAGACATCATCCAATTTGACCTAAAAATCCCTCAATTATACATCTTTGATAATAGATTGTTTTAAATATAAATGCTATGCCATTAACCTAACAGAATTAATAGTACAGGTAATTCCTTAACATTCTAATACCCAGTGCATATTCAAATTCCCTGATTGTCTCAAAGATGTCTTTTTACAGTTAGTTCATTAGCACCAAAATTCAAGGTCCACAAACTATATTTTGAGGTTCCCCTCCTTTTTTATTTCATGACATTGATAGTTTTATTGATTGATTTAAAGAAAGAAAAGGAGAGGGAGGAAGAGAGGGAGAGGGAGAAAGAGAGGAAGACAGGGAGAGAAAGAGAAAGAGAAATATCGATTTGCTGGCTGGGGACAAACCCGTAACCTTGGTGTACTGGGACAACGTTCTAACCAACTGAGCTACCCGGCCAGGGCCCATGAAGCTGATTGTTGAAGAAACATTTTCTTCATTCCTTTTGTTACTGGACTGACAGGGATTGGGCCTGGGGCAGGTCTGCTCGGGGTGGCAGGTAGTATGTGGGTTCTTGACTTTGTGCAGGTAAGCTTTCACTATGAGTCCAGGTGATTTTGAGAGTATGTTTATTCAAGCTGGGGATAATGAAACAAAGGAAGGGCTTAGGGTAGAAGAAGCAACAGGAGAGAGCCTAGGCAGGGCTACTTTGGCTCACTGAGAAATAGAAGTCACAGTACAAGAAATGAGCCAAGGCAGGGCTGCTGTTAGCTTACTGGAAAGTCAGGAGAAAATGGGGGCCTTGGAGAAAGGTTTAGGGGATAAGCCCTGGATGAGCTGCTGCTGCCTGCTGCTCCCCTGGTTACAAGTCTCATGGAAACCTTTAGAGTTTAGGAGAAAGGGAGCAGAGATATAAGGCATGGATGTGGCCTATCAAGAGTACACTGTGCCTTATTAAAGCAGAAGGCAGTAAAATGAAGGAAGGGCTTAGGATAGAAGAAGCAACAGGAGAGAGCCTAGACAGGGCTGCTTTGGCTCTCTAGAAACATTATAGGAAAGAAGTGGGCTACACTGGGCTACGTGAACTCACTGAGAAGTAAAAGTCACAGTGACAGCCCTGCCCAGTTTTGCTTAGCAGTTAGAGTGTCAGCCTGAGGACTGAAGGGTCACGGGTTCAATTCCCCATCAAGAGCACGTGCCTGGGTTGCAGGTTCAATCCCAGCCCTGGTTGGGATTGTGTGAAAGGCAACCAATCAATGTATCTCTCTCACACAGATGTTTCTCTCTCTCTCTCTCTCTCTCTCTCTCTCTCTCTCTCTCCCCCCCCCCCTTTCCCTTCCTCCCTTCCACTCTACCTAAAAATCAGTAGGAAAATATCCTCTGGTGAGAATTAACAAAAAAGAAAAAGTCACAGTGACAGAAGTGAGCCGTGGCAGGGCTGCTATTAGCTAATAGCTCACTGAAAAGTCAGAGAAAAAAGGGGCCTTGGAGACAGGTTCAGGGGGTAAGTCCAGGACGAACTGCTCCCCTGGTTACAAGTCTCGTGGGGACCCTTAGAGTTTAGAAGAGAGCAGGGATACAAGGCATGGGCATGTTCTAGTGAGAGCATCCTTTGTCTGGAGGCTTTATCTTTCTTGGGCTGATGGGAATCCTAGGGGAGGGTCTTAACAGAATATTCACTAGCTTTCCAGGTGTGTCCTTCAATATGTTGATTCATCAAAATGTGTATATGGAGGGATCAGTGTTATTTTCAGGTTAGTTTTATTTTTAAAGAACATCATCAAAGAGGGACCAAGACTGAAGCCGATCTGTCCCAGGATGGTCTGGAACGTGTAAATCATTTGCTCTTAGGTGTCCTTGGTTAGGGTAGACAAAACTTTGACTCATTAGCTGGCTGTAAACTGCTCAAATGTTTTGGCCTTGTTTAATTATTTTGTCTAACTTTCCCTTATTCCATTTGTCAAGGAATTTCCCTAGCTTCTTACTATCCTGCCTCACTTCGTCTATAGAACCACATTCTTCTATCTCCCCCCTTACCCTTGACTGGTGGTTCAATCTAGAGATGTGATTAGATGCAGGTTCAAGTTTTACACAAGAATCTTTAAATATGGTGCTGTATGCATCCTATTTCATCACATCAAGAAGTTCATACTGTCTTGTAAAGCTAAATACTATATATACATATATGTTGTTAATCCTCACCTGAGGATTTTTTTTTTTTTTTTTTTTTTGATAGAGTGGAAGGGAGGGAGGGGGAGAGAGAGAAAGAAAGAAACAATGTGAGAGAGACACATTGATTGATTGCCTCCTGAAGGAGCCCTGACCTCCAGCCCTCCCAGACTGGGATGGGGGACTGAACTTGCAACTCACGTGCAACCCAGGTATATGCTCTTGACCAGGGATCAAACCCTCCACCCTTCAGTTTGCAAGCCAATGCTCTAACCACTGAACCATGCCAACCAGGGCAAGCTAAATACATTTTTTAAAAGGAAATTTTGTATTGAATCACATTGTGTGTACATTATATAAGGATTCAAAAACAAAAATTCCCAGATTGATGCTGGGTCCAAAGACAACTGCATTTAAGTGGTTATTAAAGCAGCATGATGGCTAAATTTTCAATTAAAGGAGTCTTTCCAAATGAAGTTTCATATTTGCCCTCTCACTAATTACTTTCAATGTTTGCTTTATTTCTTTAAAAGATGCTCTGTAGATTTTTCCAAACACTACTATCAGTATAAGCACACCATTAAAGTTTTCTCCCTCTGCATTAAATTAGAAAGTTTTCAAGTGTCAAATACAATTAACTAATGTAGGATAATCACACAATATCCCTCGGGAGCACAACAAACCACAAATTTACAATATAAAAAACTTGATTTAGTTACAAAATTAAAATAAAAAATATGACACACCAAGTTCTAGATATGAAAGGAAGGGTGGTTGGTGGTGTTAAATTCATCCCAAGTGTGTGACCATGTTTGCCTGGTATATTAAGAGGGTTCCTAATTAGTGCTAAGTAATATTAAAAAATAATACCAGATCAGTGATCAACTGAAAAATTCACTCTGGTGCAGGTCATAAAAGAGTATGTTATTTGAGTGACACCTTGCAGTCTAGTGTAAGAGAAAGGACACTGAACTAGGAAGAGCAAAGTACAAATCCTGGTTCTAATCAGGTAAGATCTTGTTTTCTCAGCCTCTTTCCTAAATGTTCCTAAGTGCCAACAACTGGGCTAACTGCTTTATAGTCATTACTGCGTTTAACTACCACCCCACCCCCACCTGCACCCCGCCCAATAACCCTATGATGTTGGTGCTGTCGCCGTCCACATTTTATAGAGGAGGAAAGAGGGCACTGACAGGTTGAAAGACTTGCCCATGGTCGTACAACTGGTAATGAGGACACTGGAACCCATACTCAGACACGATATATACCCTTTACTTACCTTTAGCTTCCTAGCACCTTTTAATAAAACATTCTCTGTCCTGATCTTGTTCAATTATTCTACCACAATAACTCTTTAAAAACGTGGAAATCTCTGGGATTTCCCCACCTTTTCTGGGCAGCTGCCCTCCTCTCCTTTGAGTTTTCTGGTTTCCATTTTCCTCTGCCCAAGTCTAATATGTGGGGACTCCTGCAAGGCTCTTCCCTTCCTCAGTGCCCTCACCTTCCTCTCCGGCTCCCACGACCACCACTCACACGGAAATTATAAGAATCTGCATCTACAACCCAGAATTTCAAGCTGACCTCCCACATTGTAGGCGCCAAGAGGATACGGCTTTGTGTCCGTTGTTCAAGGATTTATGTCCACCCCTATGCCTGGCACATGGTAGGTGCTTAAAAAACGTGTTAAATGAACGTCTCAGAGGCACCTTAGACACAACTATGTCCAATCCTGAGGTTGCCTACTCCCGGCAGTGCTTTGAAAAAAGACCCGTTTCTGCTTCTCCAGAATTCTTTAAAGTCCTAGGTATGACGCCAGTAGCTTAGGAGGAAGCCTAGAGGTCACCCTGGCCGCTAGATCTTCCCTCAACCCGATGGCCCGACTCAGCCGCCGGTTCCCCAGTCCCAGGGGCCGCAACAGATGGTCTTCGCTCTTTACTCACCGCCACCGAGCTCCGGAGGAAATATCGCGTCGTTTGCGGGGCTGCGCGGGGCTCTCTGCGAGACTTCGTAGCGCGACCGCAATACGCAGGCGCATGACTAGACCTGTGCTTTTTGTCCCAGATCCTCCCAGGGACTATGAGAGGCAGGCAAGGTGAAGGGCTTTTAAGGACAGTCACGTATCTACGCAAAGTGTATTAATAAAGTAACCGGAACTGGTGTTCTGAGGCCGCCCCTACTGCTGTCCTCGAAGAGCAAATCGTTTAACCTTGACCAGTGAGTTACTTCTAGCAGTCTTTGAAGTAATTTTATTCATTTTATGGACTTAATGTCTTCCTGAGCCTTGGACTGGAAAATTGCAGTAAGAAAGGGGCCTGCCCCTCATTTTATGGTTGGGGAAACAAACTGGGAGAGCTGATGTGATTAGACCACCCACCTTTAAGGTGATTGGGGCAGTGCTGTGATTAAAACCAGCTCTAGCCCTGGCAGGTGTAGCTTCACGGTTAGAGCACCAGCCTGCGCCTGAATGGGTCGCAAGTTCAATTCCCGGTCAAGGGCACACACCTGGGTTGCAGGTTCCCAAGTGGGGGACGTGCTGGGGGCAACCAACTGATGTGTCTCTCTCTCTCTCATCCATGTTTCTCTCTCTCTCTCCCACCCTTCCACTCTATATGAAAAAAAATCAATGGAAAAATATCCTCAGGTGCCCCGCTAGTGTGGCTCATTGGTTAAGTGTGACCCATGCACCAAGAGGTTGCGGATTTGATTCCCTGTCAGGGCACATGCCCATGTTGTGGGCCCAATCCCCAATGTGGGGCATGCAGGAGGCAGCCAATCGATGTTCTCTCTCATGGATGTTTCTCTCTCTCTCTCTCTCTCTCTCTCTCTCTCTCTCTCTCTCTCTCCCCCCTTCCTCTCTCTCTAAAATTAATGAAGAAAAAAATTGCCCTGGCCGGTTTGGCTCAGCAGTTGGAGTGTTGGCCTGCGGACCAGAGAGTCCTGGGTTCGGTTCCCGCTAGGGGCACCTATCAAAAAGAAATAATAATAATAAAATAAAATAAAAAAATAAAATAGAGTTGATGGGGAAAAAAGAAAAAAATTTTTTAAACAAACAAAAAACCTTAAAAAAAAAACAAAAAACCGTGGCTGGTTTGGCTCAGTGGTTAGAGCCTCACACACTGACCAGAAAGTCCCGGATTCGGTTTCTGTTAGAGGCACATACCTAGGTTGTAGTTTGTCCTGCCCAGGTTGGATCTTGTGGGTCACAACCATTTGCTGTTTCTCTCTCTTCCCCCCTCTCTCCCTCCGGCTCTATCTGAAGATAAATGCAAAAATGTCCTGGGAGGGGGGTGAGAAGGGAGGGAGGGAGGAAGGAAGGAAGGAAGGTGAGGATTAACAACAACAACAAAAATGGAACAGATTTTTATTCCACTCTATGGTCTTATCTGAAGAGCTCAGAGACTTTGGTTAATGTAATCTTCAAAATTAGAGCATCCATCCGTGGACCAAAGAGTCACAGGTTCGATGCTGGTCAAGGGCACATACCTCAGTTGCGGTTCATCTCTGGCCCTGGTTGGGGTCATTGGGGAGGCAACTAGTGGATGTGTCTCTCTCACATTGATGATTCTCTCTCCCTCTCTCTTTCTCCCCCTCCCACTCTATCTGAAGATATTTGAAAAAATATCCCCAGGTGAAGATTTTTTAAAAAAGGAAAACAAATGGAAATTGTTCTTGGAGTACAATTGATCTCTCTCCCCCTCACCCAAGAAACCAGTGTTGTGTCTATTAATCAAATGAATTTCAGCGCTGCTGATTGTCTATATATGTGACTGCTTCTTAGGATTGTCTTTTGAATCAGTTGTAATATCTTACTGGTTCCTTCACTAATTAATGAGTTAAATAAAATCTTGGACACATGTTAACTTTGTATTTGTATAAATCATAATTTTAATTTTTTGTTGTTGTTAACCCTCACCCGAGCATATTTTTTCATTGATTTTTTTTTGCGAGAGAGTGGAAGGAAAGGAGAGAGAGAGAGAAACATTGATGTGAGAGAGACACGAAGATTGGTTGCCTCCCTCATGACCCTGACCAGGGATGAGGATTGAACCTGAAACACATATGTTCCCTTGTCGCTGAGCCTAATTGGCCAGGGCCATAATTTTAATTTGTAAAAATAATTAGCCTTTAACAGAAGGGAAGAGTGTGTTTTCTTCTCATTTCTGCCAAATCAAAAATATTGTGCAATACATGAGGCAGCTTATTCCTGGCTATAGACCTGGCCCCTTGGGACTATTTAGTCCTATTATTTATTTTCTTCTTGCTCCTCTAAGTTAAATACTTTATTTATTTATTTATTTATTTATTTATTTATCTTCACCTGAGGACATTTTTTGCATTTATCTTGAGGGGGAGAGGGAGGAAGAGAGAGAGAGAGAGAAACATCAATGTGAGAGAGACACATTGAGTGGTTGCCACCCACACAACCTCAACCAGGGCTGGGGACAAACTGAAGTACACGCCCTTAGCAGAAACCGAACCTGAGCCTCTCTGGTCCACGGGCCAACGCTCTAACCGCTGAGCCAAACCGGCCAGGGCTAAATACTTTTTTTAAAATCTATTTTTAAACCTTGGTTCTTTGCTTCCTTGCTTCCTTAACAACTGGAAAAATAACTAAGCAGGTAATATATAAGGTTTTCTCTGTGTAAGGCCATCTCTATGCCCACTACATGATATAAGAAATTGAAGTACTTAAGATATTTAAATCAGACCCATTTCTAGCTTCCTCCTCTTCAAAGTCCCTCCTCCCAAACACATGTGTCTTTAACATTGTAAACATACTGTATGTACTTATCAAATTAATAAACAAGTAAGTGGATGCCTTTGTGTACTTAACACTAGAGTAAGTGCTAGTAGTATATCATACATGAGAGTCCCTGACCCAGGGAAGTTTACAATCCAGCTGGGAAGACAGGGAAGTAACAATATATGCAGGACATGGTAAGTACCAAAAGGAGTGAGATTGGCAATAAATGCTTCATTCATTGACCCGCTGAACAAATAATTATTTATTGTCCATTATATGCAGGCATTGTGGTATTTAGTGGTGAACAAGACCAGCACAGACCCTTCTTTCACCGAGCTTAGTCTAGAAGAGACTGAGACAAGTAATGGGACAGTTACAATACTGCGTTGCCAGGGCCACAAAGAGGGGAAGCACAGGATGTTATGGGAGCACAAAAGAGGAAAACCTACCCCTGACAATGTTGTCTAAAAAGACCTCCTGGAGGAAGTGCTATCTAAGTTGAAATCAGAAAGACCTTAGGCCAAATTAGGCCAAGAGTGGAGATAGGGAAGAAGATGGGGTGTAGACTGTGGAAACATCATATATTAAAGTCCTGAGGTAAGAGAAAGCAAAGCATGTTCAGGTAACTGAAGTTTAGTATGGCTGAGGCAAGAAGTTTGAGGTGGGAGAGTGGAAAGGGATGAGATAAAAGAGGTGAAAAGGGACCTCCATGTTACATAGAGCCTTGTTAGTTATGTTAAGAAATTTCAAATTTATCCTGAGGACAATTAGGAACTATTAAAAACATGTTGTTTCATTTTAAAGATTTGGACCTGATCGTATTTTATTTTAAAGAGGTTACCCTGCCCTGGCCGGTTTGGCTCAGCGGTTAGAGCGTCAGCCTGCGGTCCGGAGAGACCCGGGTTCGGTTCCCGCTAAGTGCATGTACCTCGGTTGCAGTTTGTCCCCGGCCCTGGTCGGTTGTGAGGGTGGCAGCCACTCGATGTGTTCCTTTCACATCGATGTTTCTCTCTCTCTCTCTGTTCCTCTCTCTCCCTCCCACTCTACCTGAACAAAAAATGGTAAAATGTCCTCGGGTGAGGATAAAAAAATAAATTAATTAATTAAAGAGGTTACCCTGACTGGAATTAGGAGAACGAATTTTATTTATTTATTTTTATTTTATTTTATTTTATTTTATTTTATTTTATTTTATTTTATTTTATTTTATTTTTGTTCAGATAGAATAGGTGGGAGAGAGAGAGAGAGAGAAACAACGTGAAAGGGACACATCGAGTGGCTGCCACCCGCACGACCAACCAGGGCCGGGGACAAACTGCAACCAAGGTACATGCCCTTAGCGGGAACCGAACCCGGGTTTCTCTGGACCACAGGTCGACTCTCTAACCGCTGAGCCAAACTGGCCAGGGCTTATTTTATTTTTTTATGATTTTTTTTTTATTTTAATAATTTTTAGAGAGAAAGGGAGGGAGAGAGAGATAAAAACATCAATGTGAGAGAACTACATCGATCGGCTGCCTCCTGTCAGTACCCTATTGGAGACCAAGCTCGAAACCTGGGCCCTGAATGAGAATCGAACTGGGACCTCTCAGTCCATGGGACATCGCCCGCCGGGCAGGAAAATGGATTTTAAATGGGTGGGACTGGAGGCAGGGAGGTGAGGCAAAAGATAATGGTCACCTAAATGAAGGTAATGATAGTGGGAATGGAAAGTACAGACTAGGGATGTTTAAAAGTTAAAAAATTAAGAGCACTTGATAAAAGATTGAAGTGAAGATAGCCTCTAGGCAGAAGTAGATGAGTCTGTCTGGAGTCCAAGACAGAGAACTAAATTAGACATACAGATTGAAGAGTCAGGATTTGTAGAACAAGGTGAGGTTGCTCAGAAAGAAGAATAGAGAGAAATATAGGCAGAAAGCCCAAGACAGAGCCCTGAAGAGAATGGATAGAGCAGAAAGAGTCTGCAAAAACTAGAGAGAAAATAACCTGAGAGGTGGAAGGAAAACCAAGATAGCAGAATGTTATGAAGGTCGAGGGAAGAGGGTGCTTTAAAAACAAGAGGAAAATTAAGTGTCTGATCTGAAAAAAGGCCAAGGAAGTGAGAACTGAATTGTGACTTTGGGATCTGAAGGAGAGCAGAATTTGCCACCCCCAAATGACTGTAGGAGTTCAGGACATGCAACTCCAAAATATGCTGCTTTGATCTATCGATTATTTTGTGCTGTAGGCATTTGAAAAACAGTAAATACAGAGAGAGG